CTGTAGCCCCATCTTTTCTGATCAGTGCGGTGACATGAAACTGCGCATGGAATATGGAGCCAGGTAATCAGTTTTCCTATTCTTCAAAAGAAAATAAATGAATGAATAAACCAAAAATAAATCACCACCCTCCTGTAGTTTTAAATAAATGGAGAAGTGAGTGGAATGCTGCTGTGTTGTAGGAACTATGGAAGCTATCTCTTACTGTACCAGCCAGTTTTGGGTAGGCCTTTTGCCCTAAAGGTAAGACTGCTCACCTGTGATATTTCTAACTATAGCCTCTTATGTCACTAATGTTGTTACTGCCAAAGTAAAATGTTAGGGTCATACTCTCCTCAGTCTCATGAACATCAGTGGAGGCACAGGTCTTTATTAAATCCTTAGGTATGTAATGTTACCGCACAGATATTAGGTGTACATAGTCACTAGTGGCAAAGGTTGAAATATGTCCTTTACCACTTTGAATCAATCTTGAAACTTAGTTTCATATTATAACAAAACTTAGAATTTTCCAACTAAAATGTCCTTTTTCTCTTGTTTCCCCCCCAAGCAAACTGTGTAATTAAACAATGGGAGCTAGTGCTCTTCTCTTTTTGAGGAAAGATGTGCAAATTTTTGTTTGACATGGGTACCCACATTTTAAGTGTGAGGACAGGTTCCTGTAAATTATAGGCCTTTAGGTTTAAAAAGGCCTGGCTCCAGCAAATCCTATTTTCCCATTATCAGATCCTACAGTAAACCCATAATCAAAGTTCAGGTTATTGCATGGGTTCACTTGAACTTGCTTGTTTCAAGGAACCAGAAGTAAGACTAGGAACTATATGGTTTGGACTTGAAATTCACCTTAAATTGTAGCCTAATAGAGATACAGCAACGAAATCCACAAAAAAGCTTTGATGGGGAATTTGTGGACACAAAATATGTTCTAACATACCACTGCTGGTTCGCAAAACCAGCATTAACTAAAATAAGTAATTTTGTGGTTTAAGTCAAGCATTCCTTATCCCTCTATTCACTATGTTCCTGTAGATTAATGGGTGAAGCATCAATATTTTGCACAGTGTGCATTCACTGAACAATTGGACCACCAGGTTAGGGCTTCTTCACTGTATTTTCACATCAGTGAGACACTCAAAGGAGTTCCAGATTATGTCTGTCTTCGACTCCACCCACAAGAGTTCACTCTGAGTTGTAGACATTTATCTGACATGACTGATAAATTTGGGTGATTATTCTCCCTCTCTCTGGAGATCCACATTGATCCTAGCAACTGTAGATCAATTGAATAACATAAGACACATGGACAGCTAAGAGAGTCAGAAAAGCAACAGTGGTTTAAAAGCTCCTCAGTCAGCTGGCAGCTGAGAGTGCAGCTAACTTGAACTTTGTTTAGATAGATATCTGCATTCCTCAATAGATACATACAGGCCAGGCCTCGATTTCCATTATTGAATGTATAAAAGTACATACATGAAAGTTGTGTGCATAATTGTTATTGTAATAGCACACACAAAATCAGAAGTCTAACTGGCCGTTTGCTCTTGTAGTTGCCACATGTCTGGCAATTGTAATTGTGTATAAAATTATGAAGTTCTGGGACATAATTTTTAGTGGTTAAATCCTAGAGGTGGGTCTATTATCAAAACACCTGGGGCACAGCCCTATTCAGAAAAAAATTAAAGTTAAATCTTATTTCTAATTCTGATGGCTGTATTGAGTGACACAGCACTTCTTTATTCCTCTTGAAGAGTCCATGTGGGGCAGCTGTCCTGGTGCCTCAAATTTTTTATCATGCTTTCCAATAGGGGTCTCCAAAGTAGCAGCAGCAACATGAAAGACACCTGCATGTCCCTGAACAGTCATAACATAGGACTAAGATGCATTCAACAAGGGCCAACCTTGTCTCAAGGAATATCCACAGAACCTCTGTGACCTGCAGCCTCACATTTGTCATGCTTTGTCTGGGCTGTACCGACAGGGAGGCAAAATGGAATACTGTGAGGGTCCTCTCCTTTAAACTGTGGCCACCCAAAGTCCATAATTTCTCTCTCTGCTGACTATAGGTGGTAATTGAAGCTTGGGGAGGGATGTCGGGGAGGTGCTGCCTCCGCAACGTTCCTTGTCCAAGAAGAAGTTGGAGGTTCCTCCCTGGCTGATTCATAGCTGGGGAGAGAAGAATGAATGGGATACATGGTGCGAAGACAGCTTCCCCAGCTGACACTTCTGAAACAGGTGTCATCAGGAGTAAATTGCCCCTTCTTCCCTAGGCAATTGGTGTGTGAGTGTGGGAGATAAAAGTCTATCCCATACCCAACAACCTGTTTGTTTATTATTCTTTATTGTTTGCTTGTTTATCTAGGGTGACTTACTAGATGCTAGTCCTCTCCTTCTTTTTCTGTGCCCACTCCCAGGAGCTCTGCAGAGTTTATTATAGTCACAGGTCTAGAGTAAATGGCCCCTATGTACAGGCTGAAAGGAGCACTATGTGTAGAGGGCTTTTCTAATGGACTGGTAGCTCATTTGCATGAGTCCTTCCCACCATCCCACCTCTATAAAGTTATGAGGGTTCCAACTGCAGAATGAGCTTTGTCCAGCTTTCACAGTGTGCCCAATCCCTTTGCTCTTTGGGACTGGCCAATATGGTGTGGACTCTGGCTACATGTCAGTAAGATGCTGAGGTGCCCCTCACTGCTGGGTATCAGAAGGTCAGGATTGGGCCTTTAACGTGCTCATGTGCAGCTGAAGAGAGTTACTGCAACCCACTTACTGGATGACCTCAATCTGCCACTACTATACCCTGATATAGCTAAAAAAGGCACTCAATAGGAGATCAGATTAAATGACAGAGCCCCAGTAGTTTGAGAAGGAGTCCTACACTTATAGTAAAAGTGGGCTCTTAATTCTAACAATTGATGTAGTGGGTTGCCTAGTTCTGATAAACAAATTCCAACTGCTGCATATTTTATATATATAAAACAATATATAGAGAGAAATGAGGGAGAATAATTTAGAGATTGATCCTAGCTTGTGGAAACTATGTTTCTCTACATACAGTATACTGCAAAGTCAGTTACTAACTAGTTACTTGTGTAATGCTTGTTATTTTATAAGGCCCGAGGTATAAACATTAAAAGCTATGATGTTAATTTTCCATTGTTAATGTCACCTTTTTAATATCTGCACTTTATTGTATAATTGTTAGAACATGATGAGCTGTCTACTGTCCTCAGTTCGTTACACAATTTCTATAGACATAAATGGGAATTCTGCTTACAGCCTAAGGACAATATACGGCCCTCTGTCTTTAAACTCCTGCTCCATTCCTGAAAGAGCTACATAAATTTACAAAAAATGTCTGCTGGTAAAATAAATGCCTGGAAAATGTAACTATATAGCAATGATATAATGTTAAATACAGTGTAAAGATAAAATTTGTTTAAAAATATCCGAATGAAGAGACACATGCTATTTTTGCTCACTATGACTGCTAAGTATTAAGTATTCCTCCTTATTTAATACAAATCTCTGCAAATCCTAGTCTACAGTAAGCTTTTAAAATGAAGCCATGAATACCACAGTCACTTAAAAGATGCAGTTCAGGAAACTGTGCAGGGTAGCTCTTGTGAAAACTTTTGAGACTAAGAACCTCATAATACCAGTGAAGATTAGGATATAGTCTTTTTTTAATGTTAGCTGTTTGACGGATAAGACCCAGTATATGTTTTGAAACAAGACTTTACCAAAATGTCTGTGTGACAAAGTGTCTATACATTAACATTTTATTTGTGTAATGTACTTTGGGCCTTCTAATTAGATGATGCCATTTATTTCTTGTTATAGTTCTATTCCTGCATACTGTGTCTTATAAGTAGTATCTTTAAAGTAATCTTTATTGTTTGAAAGCTGGAGTATAATGGTGAAGACACCTGATGGTTTCCTTGTAATACAAGTAATAATGAGAGAGCAGTTAAATGTAGGAAATCTTATATAAACTGAATTATTTCAAAAGACATGGTATCCATTCCAACCAGAGTTCATTTCATATAATGGCCTTATGTTAATGCAGTTTTCTATAAAAATTGTTATAACTTACTAATATGAATAGCTCTAAAAATTAGATATTTTAACTTCTGCTTTTTTGAGATCCACTGGTCACAGGTGGGTGTGTCAGGGAGCTGGTTACAACACCCTGATTCTCAAGCTTCCCTAGCCCTTGTGTAAGTTAGAATACCTTAATTGTGAGATTTTTAAAGGTATTTTGGCACATAAGGATACAGTTAGGTGCCTACTGGGATTTTCAAAAGCATATATCCGCACCCTTGAAATCAATGGGAGTTAGGCACGTAGGCACTTTTGAAAATCCCACTAGGTGCCTGTCTGCATCTTTAGGTGCTTAAATACTTCTAAAAATCTGGCTCTGAAGGATCATAGCCAGTTGAGAATTGGAAGAGCAGAGAAGATCCACCCCACTTCCTCATGTTCATCCATCCCTGGGCGGGGATAGGCAGTTCACATAGGAGTTGGTTCCTGGCTTTGTGCCATTGGAGGGTTTCCTCCCTCCCACACTGAATTCTCAGTCATGGCCAGAGTCCAGCATATTTGCACTGCTCAGATGGTTCAAATGGGCCAGAACCAAGGTAGAGACTCTGTGCTATCTCACTTATACTGGTATAAATCAGGGTAAGCCCACTGAATTCACTCTAGTGCACTGGTGTAGTACTAGTGTAAGTCAGAAGAGAATGAGGCCCGTGTATTATACTGTGTATTTATGTGTACTTTCTATACAGTGTGTATAGTAAACTATATAATAGAAGACCCCAAACACAAAAATACATAAGGATTCATAATCATTTTTGAAATATAAAATGATAGTTCATTGTCAATACTTAGACTTGATACCAAAACACTTCTTTATTTTTGTCAAATGGCTGCATTATCTGTATGTAATTAGAGCAGAAAAACATTCTAGCTCAGAAATGCTCTGTATACTTCCTACATGTTAGGAAATTTCTGTCCCACTTACCTTTTCCATTATTTCCCAAATGACTCATGTGTTTCCCGTTTCACTATTATCACTTTATCGGCCAGTCTGATGTTTGAAGTATATAGTTGTAGTGCTTTGAATAATGTACATATTACTTACACAGGGTGCCGAGTTTTATGGGAACAGCAAGGGATACTGTGTTGGGATACTAAGAGTATTCCAAGTGGAATCTATCACACTGTAACTCTTTAATACTAATTTCAGATCAATGATAATACATTTAATAACTTAAGCCTTAACTTTGCCATTGAATCCATGCAAGCAGCCCATGCAGAGCCCGTTAAAGCCAATGTGGTTCTGCATGGAAGCAAGTGTTCTCTTACATGGATCTTTTTGCAGGATCAGGCCCTTATTGAAGGATTTTAGACGTACAATTAGAAAAGCAGAGGTAAGGTAAAAGGAATAGTCTTTAGGCAAGCAGCCACATTTACTTGTGGGCAAGAATTTCTAATGTAAGTAAGGGTTTGCTAGATTGTTTCCAACATTTGTAAACTGCATCAAGATACTAAGATGCCACTGCCTCATTTTGCTAGCATTTTGCAAAATGACTCTGCTTGGATATTTTGTATTGTGATGTTCACTTGTAGGTTACAGTCTACTGATAAAATGTCTTCCATGGCTTTGAATCAGAGAAGATCCCCCTCCCCACACCTTTATGGGATTATATTTACTCATTAGCTACATTAGCTATACGGCAGACATTTTAGAATGTAACATCGGATTAGGGTGACCAGAGAGCAAGTGTAAAAATTGGGACTTTTTTTGGTGGGGGCAGAATAGTTGCATATATAAGACTAAGCCCCAAATATCGGGATGTCTGGTCACCCTGTATATGATCCAATTCAATATTTCTTGCACAAGAGAATCTCCAACTGACTCTTCTCATACAAGGAATACTGAGTTGGACCTGTATCATAACTCAATAACTTCTTGTTTGTCTGCCATGAGTACATATGAAAATAACATAGCCACTTCTATCAGGTCTGTCATCCAAGAATCTTAGCACAATTTACAATACATTAATTACTTGTGCCTAGCTCACAGAGATCTCTGTGAGATAGCTAGATATTATCAGGCCTATTTTACAGAATTGTAAAATGAAGCAGGGAGAAGTTAAGTGACTTGTCTAAAGTCACTCAGTGAGTCAGAGACACAGTAGAAATAGAACATGAGTGTCTTGACTACTGGTCTTCTGCTCTAGATAAAAGTCCAGTGGAGAAAATTAAGGTTCATAATTTTGAAAAGTACTTTTTATGCTGAATACATAAAATGACTGTATCTAAGGGTGGGTAGGTCAACTAGTCATAGGATAAATAGCCTTTGTAGCCAAATCATCATTTTAAATCTAGCAAAGAAAATGCATATAAAAATAGTTTTCTGCAGTTTAAAAAATGGTTTTAAATAGTTATTCCATTTTCCAGTTTTCAGAGGTATTGCATTAAATGAGAAACCTCAGTCAGTAGCCCCTGCATATGCCTGTTTCTGGTGTTAATTATCTTTTGTTTGCTCTTGATAATCCTGAGGTTGGTATGCAGATAATGAAGGCTGCAGAATCAACTCAAAGTGTAAAAAACAATGGCATTGTCAATTCTGCATCACAACACTTTATAAATTATGAATGTTATCCACATTAAGGAGATTGGTAGACTTTTAAAATTACTTCCATGAATAGATTAAATTACAAGTATTATTACATTTCATTTTATTAAGTGCATCTTGGTAGTTATTAAAGCAAATGAACATGTTCTCTCAATTACATAATAACATTAGAACTAAAATTATGCACAGACACTCCCAAATGCATAATGTAGCATTGTATATTAATCACCCCAAACAATATTTTTCAGTTTATATGAAGACAATTATTACCTGTTGAACAATAACATTGTTACTGGTTTATTAAAATTCAGTTCAAAGAAATATTTTTTTGAAAAAAACTTTGATTCTTTTTGGATATTTTACTAATTTCAGTTCTCAGAAAAATGTAAGACTTTTAATTATTGTCTTTTAGTAGTCTAATTGTAATAAGATAACTTTATCATATATTGGACTTTTAAATATGTTGGGTATGACAATACAACATGCACTCAGTATGTGTTAAGGCAATCTAAAAGACTGTTAAGTTTATTTACTTTTTAGCAAGTAGTAATTATTTGCATCATTTGTTTTTAAAAGTTACATTTATCCCTCTTAAACTATTTTCAGACATCATATATATATATATATATATATATATATATATATATATATATATATATATATTTGCTACAACTACTGTAAGAAAAAAAAACCCATGCATTTTATGTGCTTGGAATAATATATTTTTTAGGACAGCAACTAAATGAACACAAACAGAAAGGATCTGATTCTTCATCCATTTAAATAAATGGAAAAACTCCCATTATATTGAATGGGAGCTGGACTGGGCTATAATCAATATAGAACTGTTGTTACATTTATGTAGTCATGTTGGACACTTGGATAGCAATTTAACATCAAGATTTTCAGCACCTTCTTTTTGCGTTCTCAAATTTATGTTGTGATATCTTATGTGTATACATCATTGTGGTAGCACTTAATATGGTTCTAATTTTATTTTGGATGACTAAATAACTTTATCTCAATAGGTGTGGTAGTTCTTATACTTTATTCTAATTAGTAATGAGGAATTCCTAGGGAACACTGCAAGTACTGAAGTAACATTATTTTTGTAAGGTGATTGTCAAGTTTTTTTTGCATGATCACTCTGTGCAATCATTTGATCATTAAAAAAAGATTTTTATTTTATTTTACAATATTAGTAGTTTTCCTTCTAGACAAGGCAGGGAACATTCTCATTTACTTCTGTTAAGCTTTTCTGAAATTAGTTTGTATTTAACATAGTAGTTGTTAATATCATTCTCAGCCTGTGTCACTGTACAAAATGCTTCTGCTCTTTGGGTTGATGATTTTTGGATGGTAATTAATGACTCATCATTAAGATAACAAAAATAAATCAGAGATGCCTTTGGATTATTTATATTAAGTACAGATCACAGCCAATAAATCTGCTTTGAAGCCAAATGCATTAATCTGAATTTGTGAGTCAAAATATTAAAATGCTAAGACATATCTCCTTTATCATATGAGTCTTAAACATGCATTATGATCTGCTTGATTCAGCAAGAAGATTATTTAAATGTGCAAAATTATATATTCCTAGAGAATGTGAGAAAGCTTCTTATTTTTCCATGGAAATATTTTCATGTATGCACCTTTACCACAGACAGACAGTAATGAATACACTACCTCTAAGTATTTAATTGTGCTTCAGACTTTTTTAAAAACAACTTTTTGTCATGTATTTTGTCTTTTTGCTTTCCAGTGATTGTAGAAGGTTGAATTATTAACTAAATTAATTCAAAGGATGCCTGTGGAAATATATCTAACAGTGAATATTTAGAATCAGTAAACATTCTAATTGGTTACTTTATTAAAACATTTACTCGTGTAATTAAACACTGTTTATGTTAGCAATGCGTTGAAGAACATGAAATGAGGAGGTGATCTTTTCTGGCCTAATGTTATTAACTAAACAAAGTAAGTTAGACTCTTTCTCATCATTATTTCAGATTATAAATGCATGAGTAGACAGTGACATATATGTTGAGTTGGCAAAATAAAATAAAGCCTTTTTAGCTCCAATTAGTTCTCACTTAAACTGTCCCAACAATGGTGTCAGGCATACAGCACCACTAAGTTGTCTTTAAACCTGCCTAATTTCCTTAATTCTTCCTTTCCCTCTTAATAAAAATTCAGACATGAAAGTGTTAACATTTCCTTTGAAATTACTCCTATTTAAGAAGAAAAATCATATTGCTTTCTTAATCTTTCTAATTCTATTCTCATAAGATGATCTTGGATTTGTTCCTTTAACACTGACTCTTAGCACAGTCCTGATTTCTGTATTAATGAATTGAGAAGATGGCATGAGGCTCTTAGGTAAGTGCTATAAACTCACTCATGTGAATTTGTAGTAAGAGATACCATTTATAAAGAAGAAATAGTATTTTGTTCATTCTCACATCAATGTTACTTTGAACGGTAATTAGTTAGATATTATGTAGGTAGCACACAAAAGAGCATGTAGTAGTTTGCAATCTGCCTTTTGATCATCACAAGAAAAATTTCTACTGGGAAATGAAAGCCAGACATAATTCACTAAAATTACACTGAATGCCCTTTAATCAATACAGATAAATCTAGTGTTTGTTGTTAAATCGATCTTCTCCTTTATAGAGATACACTGTCTTGATTGTTTTAGGGATAATTATTTCACTGGGAATTTTTATGATGATTAGCAGAAACTAGACAACAGTAAAGTTGACTCAGATCCATTGAAATACTGTGGTTTAGAGTGCATTTGTCTCTTTTGGTTTGAAGCTTAGGGATATCAATACTGATTTATATCATTTCATGCAATGATGTTTTCCTGAAACAAATGGAGTGAAGCTGATTTCATTTCAGAAATGAACAGCCTCTGTGTTTGTTTTTTCTTTTATAAAATTGTCAGCTCTTGCCAATATAAATATTCACTGGTGCAGACTTTCCCTTCCTGCTTTTATCACTTAGCCTGATGCCTTGACATAGATCATTTTGAAAAAGTCCAGATAAACTTTGGTGAAATATAAAAATGTTTAGACTAGAAAGACAAAGGTTGAACTAAAGGCTTACTTAAAGTGGTGTTGCTGAATTATTCCTACACATATAATAATACAACTAAAATATCAAAGATTTTAAAAAGTCAAAAGTTTTCCATTTCAGTTTCCATTTGTAAGTTAAGATACGTATATGTTTGTATGATTTTAACAAATCACCCATTGCAATCCAGTACAGCAATTAAACATATAGCCTAGAGAGAGAGAGAAATGAGTTTTAATATAATGAATTAGAATTTAAATGCTCATAACACCCTATTTGGAATGAAATTAAACTGTAGCACACTACTTAGAAAATATACTGTACTCAATTTTTGGTTAAATAATAAAACACATACTATTTATGTGAATGAATAAGTGGATAAGAGATATGTGGGCTTATAATTTTGCATAATATATTCAGTCATTCAAACTTTTCATTAATAAGGATATGGGAAATTACGTAATTTATTGAATATCCTGACTAGAGTATTTTTTTAATACAAGAACTGAAATTGGCAACAGTTCTACTTCTATGCAAAATGCTATAATTCTCTAACGAATAACATAATAAAAAAGTGTTGTTTTTTTTTAAATTATCATTAAAGCCTAATGTCTAATACTAGGTGTTTCTTTCATTTAACATCAATTTCAGTGCTGTGTGCTTTTAAATGGGCACTTAGTATTATTTCTTAACACATTTTATAGTAACAAGGAAATAAAGTTTTTAGCATGTATAAGCAGAAAGCATATTCTGTAATTGCTTATTAGCTGACTGCTCTGAAAGTGAAAATTTAGTTTAAATGATCACTTCAGAAACATAGCATTCTCTGTATTTAATATTGTTTGTGGTGTTCACTAGAAAAATTCTACAGCTATATGGAAAAAAAGTTGTTTTGGCAAATTGAAATGAGTGGCAAGAGCAATAGAATATTGAATATTATCTTTTAAAACTAAAATCCTCTATTCTATTAGGTAATTGGTACATACTTACATCAATAAATGGTATCTATTAACTATGAAAGCCTAAATTTTCTTGTTTGAATTGTAACTCTTTGTTTATCTTGCTTTGCAGAATAAGGAATTTCTCATATAAAAGATTGTAACTTTAAGTAACTTGTAGAGAATTATACCTAAGAGTGTCTTAGATTTTAAAACACTGCTGCCGTGTTGTTTACCATGGTAAGTAAAACCTAAGAACAAGTGAACTGAATGACCACCGTAATGACTTCTAATGATGGCAGTGGAGAAAATATATTGACAAAGTATGTGATGATATTAATACCCCTCATCATGCTACAGCCATGTTGCTTTACAGGCTATGTATGGTATTGTTGTGAGACTGGAATTTGTAAAATGTACTTCCATATTTGATGTACTACATTTGCCCTGGCACTGTGTACACTGGAAGGCTGCAATGTAAATCCTTCCTTAATTGCTATGACATACATATAAATGAAATTAAAATATATGCAGTTCAGTTTGAAAATTGAATATCTGTTAGAGGGTAGAAAAACATTTGTAATTCAGCAGTAAGTTTGTTTATGAAAAGCTCATTTTGTATGGTCAGTACACAAATGCTGTAAATGTGCATATTACAGCCATAAATCATTTCTATAGGTGGTATGGCATTCTATAAATTTGCACTGTACAACTTCACTCAGAATTATTTATAGAGATGCACATGTCAATGGTTACTTTTTCTCCTGGAAAAGTGATAAGGGTAGAAGATACGCTTTGAGGTCACAGGCCACGAGTAACCTTATACATATTAACAGTTCTGCTATATATCAGTGGTCCAAGATTTCAGCAGTCTCTGGAACATTAAATCTTCCATCATTCTCATTCTTACTGGGTTTGCTTCTGCTGAGGTTTAGTGGAATTATAAACACATGAAAATATGCAGAATATATTTCTGATTTGAAGTGATTATAATGTGATGTTTCTGCACTGCAGCATTCATAATAAAGGAAATGTGATGTATCAGTGCAATATGACATCTCAAGTAATCTTAACAAGTAAGCAGTATAAGACAAAACATGTACTTTTTTACATACTTTACTTAAAGACAAAGGACAAATGGATTTATCCCTATAAACTTTTAAAATTCTTTTACAACAGACATTGCCTTCAAGTTTTCAAATCTTCCTAGTTTTCAGACACAGTTTTGTCAAATGAAATATCTAACATTTAAGTTCTCCCTTACAAATAAAACAATAATATCCCAAGTAAGTAGCTACAGTTTTTAATCTATTGATCATTTTGAGCACCAAAGAAGATGACTGACAGTGAGCAACATTTACGTGACACCCTTGAACGTTTCACAGAGACAAGTTGATATGAGTTTGTATAAATACTAATATTAAGCAGAATTAGCTTTGGAAAAAATAAAGAAATTGTACTGAGGTGAAAATTGTCACTGTCAGGAGAAATGAAGTTATATCAGAGAACAAGTGACATACAATTTTCTCTAGAGTGTTTTTAATAAAAATAGCTTTTCTTTGAATATTTTGAAGTCAAACATGAGAGGCAATCTGTGCGTTTGTCAGAGTTTGAGAGTGTGAAAAATTGCTGCCTTAAATCATTTAAGCTGAAAAGCAACTTCTTCCTGCTGAGATAATTTCACATTGACTTACCGTGCAAGCCCTTCAGGCATTCCCAGCTCTGAGCAGAAGTTTTCAAGGTAAAAACATAGAGAGAGAACATGGGAGAAGCTGGGACAAGGATCAGCAGCAACTCCAGGCGTTCAGGCAGATCTGACTTTGATTAATTAGAGAGCTACTTTTCCATTTCCACATGTACTGCCTGATGGAAAGGTAGAGTGGACCGGGATACACAAACTTGGAGTTGACTGTGTTAGATATCAGCAGGTTTTGACATCCTCTGTAGAGCTTGCAGGATATCTGCTTAGGAAGACTAAATTGCTGGAGCACACTTTTAATTTATTCATTCCCCTAATGCAGAGGAATTGTCTGAACTGAAATAGATTTGATACCTGAAATAGATTTGATTTTCGTCTGTGAATAACTCAGTTACTGTAAATGTTTATGTTACGTGAACAGGCAACTACAGTATTGCATAATGAAGGATCAGTTATTTGACTGTTTTGTCTTTTATGTGAGTTTGTAATTAGTCCATTTTAGGTATATAAGGGATGTTAAATATCTTTCAGATCAATATGTTTTCAGAGTGTGTAGGGCTTTTTTGAAAATGTACGTTTACGCTTCCTCACAATATAATTTGTAAAACTTGGCTGATTAGCTTTCCACTAGATTCCTTCTTAGGATAACCTTTATGAAAAGTCTAAATTCAGATAAAAATGTGTGCTCCCATTCTTATGATAAACTCATTTCTGGAAAAATAAAAATATTTGGAATTCTTGATTTTCAAAAACCCTTGCTCAAATAGCTTTAGAGTTAATAGCATTTTAAAAAGTCAGTTTAGAAGACATGCATGCTCTTACATATGCACAAATCTGTCTCACCTAAAATCTGAACTTTCTTCTTCAAACCATTCTTTTGTCTGTTATAGTTTTGTACTAGTTACACCGGCCACAGCCAATCAAGTATGGTGCTGAATACCACCTGAGAGGGGCTGAGCCCAAACAACTCTCAGTGAAGTCAGCACCATGCTGGATCAGGCATTATGAGTGTATCACTAGTGTGTTAGAGTTTTATTCACCAGTTCACAGAACCATTACTTTTTAATAAGTTTTCTATGATTTATTCTCATTATAATATGTTGTTGATACACAGGACTTCTACTGATTCTTTTTTAAAATAAACATTGTTATACAGGAAATTTGTGTCATGACAATACTGTTTTCATGACTGACTTTTACTATTATTTTCCATTGAAGATTCCATCCCATATTAGGCTCTGTGGCTGCTGGCCACATTTCTTTGGTTGCTCTTGATTCAAGGGAATACTTCTGCGTTCATATGCTTATTCATGTATTATGTGGTCACCAGTCATTGCTGCTGGACTCATGAGAATTATATTGAGGAACTTATGAACCTTCTCAATGACTCCCCCTCTCAGGGTTTTCATGTCAGAAGAAAATTCTTCTGCGTATGAGCTGGGAAAGAAATTGACAGGAGACACAGCCCAAAGCAACTGCATCGTGTGACTTTCTTTGTCTGCTCCACCATGGAGATGAAGAAGGGCCATTTAGCATTTATCACAACTTCTGTCCTGTAAAAGTTGATAAGGAGCACTCCAAAACAGGAGGTTTTGGTAATTGTAAGGAGCTGGTGAGAGTAATTACTCCAGTTTTAGAGATGTAGAAGTTCCCCAAGGTTGCTCACCTTGGAAAAGAGAGAGAGATTGGCTCCCAAGTACAAGGAGTTCCACATTTGTCCTCTGAGTGTCCTCCCTCCCAGTCATTGGTTACATCAAAGTAGGAAGCTGGAAGATTTCAGACTAGACATAGGGTGCACATTTTTAACAGTGATTTACCACTGCAACAACTCACCAAGGTTTGTGGTGGATTCTCCATTACTGGAAATTTTAAAATCAAGATAGGATGTTTTTCTAAAAGATACTTTCTGGTTCAAACAGGAATTAGTTCAGGGAAGTCCTGTGACCTGTGTTGTACAGCAGGTCAGATTAGATGATCACAATGGTTCCTTCTGGCCTTATACACTATGAATCAGGATGACTATTTCCTTGAATAGGAGCCCCTATCCATGATTTGGTGTCATGATCCTTGATATTTCAGGGTTTGAATGGTTCAAAAGGCCACCAATGTTTACTGGTGCTTGGTCCTGAGAGGCCAAATTCAGAGGTGGTAGGTAAGGTGATGGTTAGATTAGTCTTGCTTAGATTCGGCTGGACTGCTGTAGACATGCTTACGGGTTGGTAAATGGGTGTAAGTAAGTTAAAGGATGAAAAGATAGAATGTGTATAAACTGCTAATTGTTTTTCCTCCTACCTTCCTTTCTTCTGCCCATGGCAATGGTACACCAATATAGACTCCCTTAAATTTGCTGGACTCATTTAGTGGTGATGTATAAGTGGGGAGGGCAAGAGAAAAATTACACATTGTAAGTGGGTAAAAGTGAGTGAGTATAAGATAGTCCAGAGGGAGCCTAGTGTGACATACACCTTGTGAAGCCTGGAAAAGGTATAATTTACACTGACTTAGACTCCTAGACTTATTTAGACTCACCTCTGAATTTTCCCTGTGGACTTCAAGTAACATAAAATACATAAATGAGTTGGTTACAGTGTATATTTCTCTTTATAGAATGTATTTCAACAAGCAATGAGGATCCAGTCCATCACAGAGTATCCACAACTTTCCAGACCAACATATGTGCCAGACATCTGCATCGCAGTAGACCGATCTATTCAGGAGAAATTTCAACCCAGTAAAGAATCAGAAACCAAATCAAACCACACCTGAGGTGTGAAAAATAGTGTTGTCTGAGTGCATACTCTGCTTGAGGTCAGTAACAAAGTATGTGCTTGTTATAATCCAAAGGTGAGAATTCAGGAGCAAAGATTGGGGATGTCTTTCCCAGGAAGATGTGCATAATTATGGCTGAACCTGCCCAATGCTGGGAGCAATTTTCAGAAGAGTTACCCCATAGATATTGGCTGAAGAAGATTGAAACTGGAGAGGGAGCTCTCACCACACCAACCTATATGACAGTGCTACCACCCCAGGAATAAAGAGTGTTCTTCCAAAGTGAAGAGGGGAGATCTCCCACTCCTTTTAACAGAGTAGCTTTCCTTTACTTTAAACCCTGTCAACACAGAATTTGGCCCATCAGTCCCCTGACATGGGGTAAGGTGGGGGAAAACTAGACTGAAATAAAAGGAGATAGACAGGGTTGATTTCCTTCCTGATCTTGATTGCCACCACCAACTACTAGAGTAATGAAAGTTATTTGTGGTGCTGCAATAATTCCCAATATTTCTGGTTTAAATGATTGTGCTATATGGTAGAATCTCAGCAAACAAGTTGAGAACAAGACTGGAAATGTGTTTTAGAGTGGTGTAGTGTACAAGTCGCTCATCAGAAATCTCTGCTCATTATTTCTAGGTATTTGTTTTCATGTTCCATTGAATGATCATTTAAGAGAGTGTACTTGTGTTGATGCCTGTAGGGAGGAGCAAATGAATATGCAAATAATAATAATGTATGTGATGAGATTTTACTATTTGAATATCAATATGCTAGATATTTTACTATATGTTGTCATAGTGTAGGACCAGCTGATCACATTTCACTGAGTATTTCTATAAAAACAATTTTGTGATTTATTGAAGGTCAAATGTACACATACACACGAGCATGTATTAAAGTTGTGTAAACCATTTTCCACATAACAGACAGCTGGCACAATTTTGCCAGAAAAGCTGACACTTATGAATGAAAAATAAAGCAAACAGAAACCTGTTACCTGGGAGGATAATGGGACAGCTTCAGAGCATGGAGTAAATTCTGCTTGTCTTGACATGGAGACACTGGCTGAATTTTGTCCACAAGATGTTAGCAACGTTCAGATTCCTCATGGGAAGAGGGGGAGAGGGAAGGGCACTCAGTGGGGTAGTAGGGTCTTTTAGCACATATGGAAAAACACACATAGAAATGATGAAAAAATGTGTTTAAGCAGCAAAAGCAGCATGTACAGTACCCCTGTAACAGAGTTTGAAAGCAGGGACTTTTCTTGAAAATAAAAATAATGCACACAACATTAGTTTGTTTTGGTGGGAGAGAGAATGCAAGGAAGATGGAGGGGCGGATTGGAGCCTGTGCGTGATAGCAACAACCACCAAATGAGGGATAGAGAAACAAAGAAGAAAGGAAAGAGCAGAGATAAAAGCTAGGGCAGATGTTGTTCAGTCATTTTTCAGAGTAGCAGCCATGTTAGTTTATATTCGCAAAAAGAAAAGGAGGACTTGTGGCACCTTAGAGACGAACAAATTTATTTGAGCATAAGCTTTCGTGAGCTACAACTCAAGTGAGCTGTAGCTCACGAAAGCTTATGCTCAAATAAATTTGTTAGTCTCTAAGATGCCACAAGTCCTCCTTTACTTTTTGTTCAGTCATTGTAAAAGCTGCAGCACTAGCTAAGGTCAGTGCCTGAAGCAGCAGTGTCAATAACTACAAGTATAATAGAAGTAATGGAGCTGTAATAAGCGGCACCTTCTTCATGTCTTCTGGCCTAGCCAAAGCCAGTAGCAGAGGCATCTACTAAAGAGCCAAGAGATCTTCTACATATAACTAAAAGAGTCCTCTCTGCCAAGCACTCCACTCACACTCCATGGGCTGTTCCCTACAGCTACCAATACCTAGTGCATAAGAACATAAGAGCATAAGAATGGCCATATTGGGTCAGACCAAAGGTCCAGTATCCTGTTTTCCAACAGTGGCCAATGCCAGGTGCCCCAGAGGGAGAATGACAGAATAGGTAATCATCCAGTGATCCATCCCCTGTCACCCATTCCCATATGAGTTAATCACTGAAAGACTCAGAGAAATCACACACTGAGCCCAATGGTTTTGGTAGCCTCTATTTAGAGCCAAATCATTGATGTCTTTTTCACACAAGTAGTCCCATTTATTAAGGATGAGTGTGTAAAAATGTATTTGTTATGCATGTAACCTTAGGCAATCACATTTCAAAATGCTGGCCTATGTGACTTGCTTAAAGCTACACAGGGAGTGTGGCAGAGTCAGCAACATAAACTGTGGGTCTAATTCAGAGGTGATATGTAAAGGAGTGTAAATTAGACTCCTTTACAGTAACTTGTGCTCCCTTAAGCCAATTTACAGTAATGCTACTGGTGTGCAAGGGAGTCTGAATTAGAATAATGTATAAGCCAAGTTGCTGGAAGAAGGGTCTTGCCACTACAGATGAGACCTCCCTATGACCACATCCCTCACAGTAATGGCATCGCTGCCTGCCTGAAGTATCTACAAGAGAATGAGCAACCCTCAGAAATCCACTCCAAACACATTGCCAAAATCATCAATTTCAGCCTCACTCAGAACTTTACATTTAACAACAAACACTTTGTCCAAACCATGGGAACAGCCAGGAGTTCTAGGATGTCTCACCAATGCCAGCCTCTTCGTGGGCCACCTCAAGGAACAATTTCTGGGAAAATGCACCATGAAACCAGTGATATACCTGACATCCATCGATATTTTCATTCTCTGGACAGATGACCTAAACTCCCTCCTGGATTTCCATCACAACTTCAACCACCACCACCCTCCATCAAATTTTCTAAAATACTCCAGCAGCAGCATCAACTTCCTGGACATTGTGATCACCTTCAGCAACAGAACCCTATCGACAACTATATACAAGAAACTCACAGATCGTCACACTTACCTCTTCAAATCCAGTAGCCACCTTAGTCACCCCAAGCAGAGCTGGTGCTAGTCCATTGGGGGCCCTACGTAGGAATATAATAAAAAGTGGATAGGGGCCCCCTGTGAGCTGCCTGCGGCCCTAAGCAATTGCTTAGTCTGCTTATGTCTAGCTCTGGCTCTGACCCCAAGAAATTTTAAATCCACAGCCAGGCACACAGATATCGCAGAACATACTCCAAAAAGAAAGTCTGGGATACACACCTTAGAATAATAGAATATCAGGGTTGGAAGGGACCTCAGGAGGTCATCTAGTCCAACCCCCTGCTCAAAGCAGGACCTAATCCCCAACTAAATCATCCCAGCCAGGGCTTTGTCAAGCCTGACCTTCAAAACCTCTAAGGAAGGAGATTCCACCACCTCCCTAGGTAACCCATTCCAGTGCTTCACCACCCTCCTAGTGAAAAAGTTTTCCCTAATATCCAACCTAAACCTCCTCCACTGCAACTTGAGACCATTACTCCTTGTTCTATCACACTTAACACACTTGAAACCATCTTTACTAAGGAAGAAGCACTCCACCAGAGTAAGAGTAGATCACACCATGGAACAGGCCATCCAAATACCCCCAACAGAACCTGCTTCAATATGGGGAGCGGGGGGAACAAAGCCACTAAATGCACATCCCAATTTGTCTCCTCCCTACACTAGAGGATGGGGATATCATCAAACAATTACAACCCCTATTCCATGGAGACCACATCCTGAAATAAATCTTTCCCAACCCCCCTCTTCAGGCATTCAGACAACCCTCATCATCAGAAGCAAGTTCCCCACATAACAGCACCCACCAACTCAAAGCAGTGCCAGACCCTGCCAGAAACACAGGTGGAAAAGCAGAAGACATATCTCCACTGCTACGATTACCACCAGTACCCTTACAACACACCTTTCAAGATCAGCGTGTCCTACATATGCCTATCATAACACGTGTTCCTCAACCAGTGCATCAAATGTCTCAACAACTATGTGGGTGAAACCAGACCAAACACTATGCTCTCAAAAGAACTCACACACAAAAACTGATAAAAGACAAAAACACTAATCATCTGTGGATGAACACCTTTCACAAAGCAATCACTCCACACTGACCTAGCAGTTCTTGTCCTCAAAGGGAATCTGCACAACACCTTCAAAAGATGAGAATGGGAACTTAAATTCAGAACTCTGCTGGCCACTAAAAACCATCGACTTAAAAGAGACACTGCTTCTATGGTCCATGATAACATCTTGTAATACGTCCTGCTGCCTACTAACCTCCATTGTCCTATGACTGCAGACGAGTTCACTGACCACTTCATTTTAAGGGCTCTCCTACAACGTGTGACCCCCTTATGCTTAACAAGATGTCTGCTTACCTTCTTCAGACCTGAGGAAGAACTCTCTGAAAGCTTGGCCCTTCCACCACCAGAAATTAATTAGTCCAATAAAAGATATGACCTTACCCACCTAGTGTAAAAAGGTGTAAATTAAAGTAGGATGGGGACTACTTTAATTTATGCCTTCTTGTACTCTACAGAATTACTAATATTCATTTACAACTAAGTATAAATAAATTAAAGAAGTCTATGTGAGGGTCTTTAAGATATATATTACACATTACCCCTGAATTTCACTCAAGAGTCCTGACTGCTAGTCCCTGATCTAATCACTACAGTTTGCTTGTGTATGGTCTTCTGCTTTTTACTTCATATATATTATGACTTTAGCTAAGCCACCACAGTCTGTCAGAATGACTATACACTAAAACTACCCACTGTGTTAAAGGACAACAAATGTCCTTAGAGGTGAAGTGGCGCTTGCTTATCAAAATGCAAAATACTGAGAGGTGAAAGAAGTAAAGCTCAACTATAATATATTACTGAATATGAGACATTCAAATTCTAGTATATCTTTCTCATGTTCTGGTACCCAGAACTGAATGGCACAGCGTGATTCCATCCTCATGACAAAGGCTAAAATAAGGATGGAAAATAATGCAAAGTTAGCTCCTATTTGTTAAAATCTATTGTAGTCTTGTGTTCTTCATTTGTTGCTGCACAGATGTAATGATATTTTAATCCCAGAGAATGGCTGATAGAAGCACTGATCTAATAATTGCCAGAACTCCAGGTCAGGTAGAGATTCTTGGACCCATAGCATTTGTCGTTCATGAATATTCACACATACTACCAAAAGAACTGTGTTCAGTCTGCTGTATCATGTGCAGGAAATGAATATACCATACCTTAAAGAGACAATATTAGCATTTTGCTGCACATTTGAGAAATATTAAGGATAGCTACAAAATTCCTGTGGAGAAATCCTTCAGGAGAGACATGGAAAAATGATAACATCATCACAGAACACATACTTTGCGAATAAAAAAAATACAGGGATTCATCTTAATGCTTCGACACAAAAAGGTGGAATTTCTCAAGGTGACCTGTTAATGCACAATTCCTCTGTGTATATGTAAAAATACGCATTCTGCTCATGACATTAAATGTTAAGATTTTAAGGCCCCAATTCAGGAACATCCCTATTCAGGAAAGCACTTAAATATATGCTTAAGTGCTTTCCTGAATAGGAATGGAGTCTAGAATATGCTTAGAGTATGAGAGTTCCCAGGCTTATATCCAGCACAAGCTCTCCTGGCAGATGTGAAAATTATTTGTGGTGGATTCACACATCAGTTGAAATCTTTAAATTAAGATTGGATCTCTTTTTAAAAGATATGCTGTACTTCATCTATGAGTTGATATGCTGTGACTTGTGTTAGGCAGGAAGAAAGACTAGATGCTCATAATGCCCCCTTCTGGCCACAAAATCTATGACTTCATGTACCCTACTTCCCATATTGCTTGCCAGTAGCTGCTCCAGGTACATGTATCCAAATTACTCCTGTAACTTTACAGTAGCAGCTATTTTTGCATAAAGTTGCTGCTGTGTGCTGGAGTTTGAGGGCAAGGATCAGACACACTAAGGTCTCCCCACGGACACCCTATTCCCTTTTCCTACCACATACCACATACCTTTCTTCCCTTCTTGCCATTGCAGGAAAATCTGCTTTCTGCTTTGTCCTATCCTATCAGACACGGATCTGATCATACTGGCCCATACATTTTCATAGATTCATAGATTCCAAGGCCAAAGGGGACCATTGTGATCATCTAGCCTGACCTGTATAACACAGACCATAGAGTGTCCAGAGAAGAATTCCTAGAGCACATCTTTTAGAAAAACATCCAATCTTGATTTTAAAATTGTCCATGATGGGAGACTCCACCTTGGTAAATTGTTACATTGGGTGATTACTCACACTGTTCAGACT